TTTAGAAGGCACGCATCAACGGAGAAAAAGAATTCCGTTAGTTTAGTTAATGGAATATTTGCGAGTAAACCATTTTGAAACAAAATTGATAATTTATAAATCATTTTAAAAAAAATTATTTCTAAATTAAACTGAAATAATCACATAATTAATAGACTATTTCTTAAATTTAACCAATAAAAAACTTCCATTTTCTTCCTTTCCTTTCCCTCTTTTTTTTAATAATTAAATAAAAGAATTGTCTCCTCTGCACTCGATTCAAACATTACACCTAATCATGTGATAATATTGAGAAAATAAATTTGTTAAATAACTACTTTGGCACATCTAGATCTAGTCCTAGCCTTGATTTATGAAATTTTTATTTTAGAAAATCTAAAAACTTACTCGGTTTCTAATATAGTGTTATCATTCAGTTCCTATTTAAGGAAGAAAATAGAATAGAAGCAAAGCAAGCATCAACAGGTCATACGTCAAATAAAAAGATGCTCGGATCAGCACCAAAAATCCAGCATTCAGTATCCGATGGATAGACAGAAGGAAACTATATCCACTGTATCAAATTATAGGCCTACGCAGGGGCAATGAAATTGTTCCCAGGAAGCACGCAGCCATCTTGCATCTGCGAACTAATGATCACAAATACAAAAGGGATAAACTCAAGGATCCTTACCACCAAGCGCACGCAATACCGACCTCCAGTCCCAGTGTTCAGCCTCAGTAGCTTCATCCATCCTCTGATAATTTGCATCATCCTCCTGTTCCACATTATTAGCTCTGGCGTTTTCAGCCTGAAATTGAAGACTATTGGCAGCTATGTTGGCAGCATCTTCTAGAGTGCAAAAAACGCGTGGCTCACATTGCGAAACATTATCCAACAAGTTGTAGTGCCAAAATTTGGAAAGCGGCACAACCACAGGTGGATCATTAGATTGAGTGGCAACTTTGTCATCGATGGGATGTCCCTGACCTATCAAAGCCAGACCTTCATTGAACTGGTTTTGGAGAGAAGGATAGAGCTGAATAGTGTCCCATAGAGGCAAGTTTAGAAACTCTGAGCCAGGAGAGATGACCTGCAGCAGCCTGTTCTTCAAATTCCAACCAAGGATCACAGCATAGAGCATCTGCAACTGAAGTGCATCCTTGGAAATCTTCTCTGCCAGTTCAGCCTTGAGCTTGCTAAACCCCTCCTCCAATCCCTTCACTTGTTCGTTCAAGTTGTCAGCTTCTTTCTTCTTTTCCTTGTATTCGTGGTTAGCATCAATAGCAGCTGCTGCAGCTTCCTGCCATCTTCTTTTAGCATCTTTGAGCTTCACATATTGCTAATGAAGTTGGACAATAATCAATTGAAGAGAAAAGAAATAATTCAATGTAAAAGAGAAGTTGGAAAGAGTAGAGATCCAAGAAGGGAGGGGCTTCAGTTTACTGACTACATACCTTCACAAGATTGTACATGCTAACTTGTTGCTTGCTGCCTAGTCCAAGCTCATGATGAGGTGGAGGTGCCGATGATGAAGTGGAGGCCTCCTTATCATGAGCAACCTTGTTCATTTGTATTTGTGTACCTCTGTTGGTTGAGAACAGAGGTCCTTGAGGAGCTCCTGCAGCGGCTAGCTGATGGTTCTTCTGGTGAGGCTCAGCCATTAACTCACTACTTGGAGTAGTACTGTTAGCAGTTGCAGGCCTTTCGTCCTTACTGGCTCCATCCAGTTCTTCTCTTTTTCTCTTTAACTCCCTCAATTGCTCAAATGGGTTTTCCCTTGCTGTCACATTCAAACCAAAAGAGTTAAGCCCACAAGAATTAAGGCAGCAAAGTTGTAGCCCCAGGTGGGCTGGCAAAGTGCACCAAAATCCCTGGGCCATGCCAAGGTTCAAGTTGCTCTAGCGACAATTGTAAAATACCCACTTCCCCAGAGCTATTTGAATTCATCATACCTCCAAAGCTACTTGAATTCACGGCAGTGACACCATCTAGTCCCCCTGTTTGAAACATTTCAAGGTTCTGCAGGTCAAGAAAATGTTAAAACACTAGCAGTTCTATAATTAGAAATTTCAGAAGTATAAACGCAACATAACATCTATATATACCTCCTCCAAAGTTGCCCACAGGTTCCGCAAGTTAACAATTAAAATTGTTAAAACACTAATTCCATGGTATATACTAATTACAACATCATCAAAAGATAAAGCAGCAAGATTGCTATACCTTTGAAAGGTTATTCAGAATCATTTCAGTTTCCTGCGGGTTAGGAAAAAGTCAAAACAGAAATTTCAGACATGGAGTAGTGTCAACATTATTAAAAGATAATGCAGCAAAATATTCCCAACCTCATCGGATTGTTGGTTTTCTCCATCTTCCTGGAAGTAGAATTTAAGAGGAGTTGGAAAGAGTCAGATAAAGAGTAATGTAGGTAATGTATTAAATTCTACCAAAAAGAAAAGATGGTTGTAGGGAAGTACCCCCTACTCTTGAAGAAGCTTATCTGTTACTTCACTGCGTTGACTTTCTTCCTCTTCCGTACCCTATATGAAATCAAAGATTAGTTAAATAATAAATCAAGGGAAAGAGAAGTAAGAATTTATTGTCTAATCTTGTTACTGCATTTTTTATATATAGAATTAGTCAAGCATAAAGAGAAGTTTTGGTTAACAAACTCGTGAGAAGGATCATCACACCTTTAAACAAACGGCGTTGAACTTCTTGAACTTCCCAGTAATTCCCTCCTCCTCAGAAAATTTATTGAACAGTTCTCGCCATTTTCCTATGAATTCACTCTACAAATTTATAATTCAAACAGAAATCTTCAATTACAAAGAAAAGCTATCACTAAATTCAACTAAATTAACAATTAAGACAGAATAAATGAAGGTTTTTTATGCACACTACAAATATGTAATTCAAGAACATATCAATCATATAAGAAATCTTTAATTACAAAGAAAAACTATCACTAAACTCAACTAAATTAAATTGTACTTGACAATATACAAAATTAACTTTACAAAAAGTAAATAGAACACTAACAAGAGCTTGGCCGAATTGGTAACCACTAACTAAAAAACCTTGATTTGGGGTCAAGTTCAAGATTCAAATCTTTACCATGCCAAGCAACTAGCTCTCTAATGTACCCAAAAGAAAAGAGTAAACAGAACTCTGCAAACTACCCTGTAAAACTCCAGAGCTAGCTGCTTGGCCTCAAACACCCATCATCTGTTATTCTAATAACCTTTTTATCTCATCTACACACAAGGACAGAAACTGAACACAAGCACTAGTGGAAACACTTATATATGCAACACTTTCCAGCTTCCTCTTTAACCACACAAACTACTTGATGACCTGAATTAATTCAAACATTCTGCTTTTCTCCCATTGATCATTATGGAAGATCATCTCATTCTATCATTCCAATTAGACCACAAAATAATTAAGCAAGAAAACTAATGCCCTAACCTTAACATTATATATACCTATCAAACATCCCGTAGACAAAATTTAGACAACAAGCATCAACAGTATTGAGTTTTGACAGTTTGAGTTCATAGGTAACTCTTTGTAGTAGCAGTGTTTACAATGCTACCATAGTTTCTATAGAACAAATAAAATTAACATTTTATCTATAAAAAAAAAAAAGTATCAAGAAATTAAGTGAAGATCCATCGGAAACTTTGTCTAAAATCTTTATGAAAAAGTAATGAAAGTGGAAGGACTTGACAAAGCAATATTGGTTTCAACATTTGTTCACTTACGATGTGTTTGGGTTGAGGGGAAGGAAGGAGAAAAAATTCTCTGTTTGGTTATCGAAAAAGCAGGAAGAGAGGAGAAGGGAGTGGAAAATTTTCCTTTATTTTTTCTTTTAATTTAGTTACTTATCCAAATGAGGCAAAGGGAGGGGAGGGGAATGGAGAGGAGAATAAAAGGATATAATTCCCTCCCCTTCCTTCTCCTCCTCTCAACCCAAACATAGGAATGGAGTGTGAAAGGTAGCCAAGGGCTTTTATGGCGATGAGTGAAAAAATTAAGATACAAGATCATTTAATTTTATCATCTAGACTTGAGAAATTGGTATTAGAATTTTTATTTTAATAGTAAGGTAGAAAATTTGAAAATGATAAATGTGTGGTTGATTATTTTTTAAAGTTTTTTAAGTTGAATTTCTAATCCTTAATTAATATATATTTTGAAAATTTTGAAGATTTTCCTTAGCTTACCAAACAATAAAAAATATATTTTTTTAAAATGGGTTTTCAAAAGTGTTCCAAATATCAAAAAATAATCACTAGAAAAGAAAATATTTTTTACAAAAAAATTATCTTCCAAAATGACGACATTTTCCACGAATCAAACAGACTCTCAAATAAAGGGCAGCAGAAGGAGAACATGAAATAGTCTAGAACTTTTGAAAATGTGCACATAATGTGTGGCTTAGGGGCGGAATCAAGGCTCATTTTGAAAACATGTAACAATATATTATACAAGTACTTAACATGCTGCCCAATAAGCTAATATTATATTTATGTAATACATTATTGAATCGTAATAATAACAGGTAATGTAATAAATACTTGAGTTATAGATAGGACATGGATTCAACGAAAAATAACATTTACTTTAAGTCACTTAAATGTAGAATGTTATAAAGGAATCATTAATTATAACCGCTCAGTTAGCAGTAGAGGTAGTCTTAAGTTTTACTAAGGAGCAGAGAAGATCTGAAATTCGAGGAGAAGTTTTTGCAATTTTACTTGAGGAATTTGAACTGTACAACTGTTAAGGTCAACTCTTTATTTTTTTTCAATTATTTCCATTATATTTGGGTCTTGAGATTGCTTTATTGGGTTTTTTTTTTGAGATATAGGTAAATAGGTGATCTTTATTTTTAAGTTATTTAAAAATAGGCTAAATTTATGGTCCATTTTAATGGAACTTGATTGAGTATTTTTAAGGGACTTAGGTGGATCCATTGTCTTTGGGTTTTAAGGCTGTTTTATTGAGCTAGATTTATAGTTCATTATGTTTGTACTTTAAGGTACTTTACAAGGTAGGTTTTTTGAAGATTTAAGTAATCTTTATTTTTAAATTATTTATTTATTTATTTAAAGATGAGCTGAACATATGGTACATTATGTTTTGCTCATTTTGTTGGCCTCCAGGCTGTAATTTCAAAGAAGAAAACTTTTAGACCACTCCAATGATGTGGGTTCATGTCGTTTAAAGTAAGTTTCCTCATTATATCTCTTATGAAATGGTATTTTGAAGTTGTTTTCTGTAGAAGGCCATAAAAAAAAAAAAAAAAAAAGTTGTTTTCTGTAAGTTGCTTGGCAGTTAGGCCCTATGGTTATGCCCAAAAAAAAATTTCAGGGCCTATGGATTACTATTTGGAGGGAAAAAGAACTAAGTTAGAGCTTTATTCTGGAGGAGTAAAAGTAATTGAAGCTATTATTCCAATCCCTCCAATGCAAAGTAGGAACTAATTTACATGTTTTAAGTATTAACTTGTTAGAATATTTGTGATGCTCTTTGGTTTTGAATCCTTCGCTTATGTATCTATAGCTGAATTTTGTAAGTACCTTTAATTTTTGTTTTTGAATTGTAAATGCTTGTAATGGTAAATCAAAAAGTTTTATATCACATGCGACCATTTTTTTATTTTTTCAACATTAGTTAGATTTCTTGAAATTTGTTTTATACTAGAAATATATATTAATTTATAAGTTTATTATTTCAACTTCAACACCAAATGGCTCTTTAGAATGTAGATTAATCAAAATTTTCCAACTTATTGATACACATATTCTTATTTTAGTAATTTAAAATAGGTGGTTTTGAAGTACCAACCACAATTCATTTCTTTTTTCAAATCTATTACTTAACTAAAGAATGCTCTAATTGTTCAAAATTCTACATTAAAAAAATAAAATAAAATTCTTGATAAAAATTTAGAACAAAATCCCTTGCGTAGCGTGGTCAGCACCACTACTTATTTTTAATTAATTAATTTAAAGATAAGCTGAACATATGCTACATCATGTTTGGATATCATGTTTGGATTTTAAGGATACTTTATTTGGTATTTTTTAGGAATTTAGGTAAAACCCAAAAAGAAAAGAACGTAAGGCACAGATAATATCGCACCTCATAAATCTCCTTTAATTTTTCCTTGAACTCTTGACCTTCAGTACCCTTCATTTGACAAACGAAAAACAAATTAAGATTTAAAAAAGGAAAAAAAAAAAGATTAATGTTTATCAGTGGACTTGCAAAAAATTAGGAATTAAAATACTTCAAAATTACTTCATTTTAATCAAATACAATGAGAAAGGACTAAAACATTCCCATTCCTACTTTAAAAATAATTAGGATAATTTAGGACTAGTTTTGGAAAATTTTTCCCCTTAATTTTTTACAATACAGGTTAATACCCATTTTTTTGAAAAAAAAATTAAGGCAAATATATGAAATAAAATGTTTATAGCATGTAATTTTAATTGCTATTATTTCATGGATGATCCATCTCCTCTTAGTTTTGATAGAAAGTGCATAAATTAAAGATCCTCGATTATATATGCCTCTATACTTTCCTCATTTATTTTCCTCATGAACTTGTCACGAAAGGCTTCAAATATGACAGTAATTCCAGGCATCAGACAGAAGGCCTTGTGTGCTTCGTGTTCCAACTGCATTGACAATTATAACATCAATAGATGAGGATTTTTTAGGAATATAATTCAAGTTAACAAAAATCATTCAGAACAATATAGATTCTTTTTTTTTTTTTTAAATGAAAAATAGAGATGTCTATTAATAGAAAAAGAGATTACATATGAAGGCACCTAAAGTCATATTAAAGCTATAACCCATAGCTGTAAATATAGATGAAACTATGCTCATAATGAATAAAGACAATTAAATGCAAAAAGCCACATATACCTAGAGAATACTTGGCAATCACTATAGTGACGTGCAGTGCTACAAAGGAAGAAAGGAAATTATTATGCGCATGTCAGGTTGCTAAACTTTCTCAACTGCCACATCAAGCTTCAAGGAGAGCAAGGATTACAGCAATTAACATTCCCCAATCCACTAACTGTCATAGTCCAAAGAAAACTATCCTTTGGGAGAATCATGACCTCCTTCCCAACAAACTAAAGCTACTCCTGAATTGTCTACTAGTACTTTAGTAGCTCTCTTTGCGTCCAAGCTGTCCATCAGGCTCTTTCATTTTACCTCTTGCTCCCTTCGTCTTACTTGATAAATTTTCCAAGTTTCTAGGTACTCTTTTCCATCCACCATGTAAAGAATGGTTTTCTCTTTTAAGAACAAATTATATACGTATATATATTTCTAGCTCTATGTGATTCCAAACTCATACTTTAGCTAAACTAATGTACCAATTTTGCTATATAAAAGAGTTACCCTCTAGTGTTAACCAAGTCTTTGCAGGGTCAATTTCAAAATCTTCATCCTTACCTAAATGCATTTTAAATCAATGCATATATGCTAAGGTTTTGTTAGTCACAACTCATAAAGAAATACTATATAATTAAGGGTGGGATATGACATCTTTTAGCCAAAACTAGCATCACAAAACATGCCTTTCTCCAACAGACCAATAATAATTCATCAAATAATAAAGAATTTATTTCCCTTATAAATTTCCACAACCTTCACACGGTTAAAATGCATTCAAATTCCTCTAAGAGTTAATGTAATTGATAGAGAAAAAACATTCAAAGCAATTCTCATAATTAAGCGGATAAGTATGTTCAAATATCATCTCCTAATATGCTCGCCATTAGTACTCTCTATCCATTGAAGACTTATATACAAAGAACTGGACATTAATAAATTCTCCCAATCAAAACAATGACATGGTAAAAGAGTATCTCCAAAAAATTTTACAAGAGAGAATTAAGGCTCAACACAATTAAATTCTTCTCCACGCATATTGGATATTAATTCTTATTCACTACCCTACAATACATATGAAAACAACATGACATTAATCTATTTACCTTCGTAGTTGCCCGACTTTCTCTGCTCTTTTTATTTTTCTCGTCCTTCTTTTTTATCTTTTCTTCTTCAGACAGTCGTGGACGCCCTGGTCCTCCTCTCTTTCCTGCTTCATCGGCTCCAGTTATTTCCTTCTTTCCTTTGCCTGCCATTCTTCCTTGTGACAGAGACAATATAAGGAAATTACTAATTAGGGTTAGCTGATTTCATCAAACAAGTAATACTTAAGAAGATCCAAAGCTTTCCTTTGCTGATAATAGAAAATTAAGAAGAACTCAATATTCAACCAACAAAACAAGACAGTAGAAAATTGAAGAATAATTGAAGAAATAATAGGGAAAATGATGAAAACAACAAATTAAGCATGTGTATATTCAAGTAATGATGATGAAAAGATTGATAGCTTACACACGTGAATCAAAGATGGATAGATTCACTCTGTGGAGCAGGACTTAACCGAAGTCCACCTACAGGGTAGGCGCTATCGATCTGAAAGAGAAGATTGTCATTGAATTGCTTGATGAATTTATAGCAGAGGAGCGCCATTTGAGAGTAATTTTTGGCCCGAGACAATGTAAAGATCAGATTTTTGTCTCGAGCTTAAATACTGGAAAACATCACACTACAGAACTGAAGCAAGTTGAGCAAGAAAGTCAAAGTGAACAGAGTGAACAGTACTCTGTTTTTCTTTTCATATATATTTAACTGGCCAAATTTTATAGGTTGGTCAGCCAAATTTTAATTTTAGTATGTAGCCTTACTGATGACCATAATTATGTTTTTTTTTTTTTTAACAAGGATAATGGTTAATAAATTAATTATTAGTAATTGTTAGTAATTGAAAATTCGATCCCAAATCGAATAAACATCTCATCCCTTACATGAGACGCGCGATCATCAAATCGCTTTGATGAAAGTCATAACCATGTCCATTTGTATCAGTTTAATATGCAGTCTTATTAATTTTCTTCTTTAGTTAAGAAATTAAGAAAATAATTAATTTATTATTTTCCCAGGGTTATGTATTTAAAAATATAAATTTATTATAAATAATTAATTTTAATTATTATATTATATATTTTATTAATTTTAATTAATATTTTATATATTTTTGGTGAAAAAAAAAACTAGAAAAAACCTAACATCAAATGAAGCCTTATTACTTTGGTTTTTTGCTATGATTTATTAAAAGTTCCAATGATTATTACTACTATTGTAGGTGAAATTTAAATTTTATAATTAACATTAAAAAACTAAATGTATTAAATTAATGTGAAATATACATTTAAAAATACTTAAAAATAAATAAATATCAAAATATATAAAAATTTACTTATAAACACCTTTGAACCCCTTAAAAAAAATTAGAAACTTACTAAAAAGAGAAACGCAAAAGAAATTTCAAATATAATAGCATAAAGTTGTGATTGTACCCTCCTGTCATTCTTTCCACATTTACCATGTAAGTGAGAACATGATGAAGGAACCTGTTCACCAGATTTGGTGGTTTGTTTCAAAATCTAAATGTTTGGATTCTATTGATCGAAGGTTTTGTTCTAATTAATAACTTGAACAATTCTAAAAATTTCCTTAATTTCCCATGTTCAAAAAAACAAAAAAGGTAAGACCATGATGAAGGTGATTCTAATTTCTTACGATGTACAAGGGTTAAGATTGGCCAATTTTTGTTGATTAAGACTTAACCCCTAAACATTTTATGATTTTTTTTTCTGGTTTTTTCACTTACCTTGAATTTATGCCGTGGTTGGAAAGAAAACTTCATAACCAGAATTTCCTCGTCGCTAAATAAGAAGGCATTCTTTTAAAGATCAGTGCTAGGGGCACTCACCTTTTGCACTCTCCAGCCAACACTTCCCTTTTCATTGGGCCACGTAAGCTTGTTTTGGGCTTTCCCAGTGCAACGTCTTGCCAACCAGAATGGCGTGGCCCAATAAAAGTGAAAGTGTTGGCCGGATAGTGCAAGAGGCGGGTGCCCCTAGCACTCCTCTCTTTTAAATCTTTAGATAATTTAAAAATTAAAAAACTTAAATCTCGAAAACACTTAAAAATAGAATTATTACGACATTTTAACTCGATAATACCACACTTAAAATATAAAATACACATCCAACGACTTAAATAACTCAATTGTCATCTCCTTCTGTTAAAAGTAAAAGATCATAAGTTCAAGTCGTATGATATGCGAGTGGGATGAGATAAGAAATAAGAGATAAGATAAGAAATAAGAGATGATTGTCTCTAATTGTGCAACTAAGATAAATATATATATAATACACTTTTACCCATAATTTTTTTTTATTTTGGTTGCACAATGTGATGCAACCATCTCCTATCTCTTATCATCTCTTATCCCACCCTACACGCATACCATACGACTCGAACTTATGACCCCACTCTTACCCATAATTTTAAAAACAATAGTTTTCCTTTTCAAAACTACCCCACAACAGCCTCTCTCCTTAAAAAAATTAAATTAAATTAAATTAAAAACTAGTCTCTTTGTCTTAATTTTTGCTCATTTCATTTTGATGAGCCATCCTTTATTTTTCTACGTTGTTTTTATGTTTTTTCTTATTTTAATTATGGATTACACAATATGATGCAATCACCTATTTTTTTGTAAAATGACTCAAATTTCGACCAGGTTACGTGGACTACAACACTCCTTCATCAAATTCCAACCAAGGGTCATAGCATCGATCATCTGCAACTCAAATGCATCCTTGGCAATCTTATTCTTCTCTACCAATTCAGCCTTGAGCTTGCTATGCCCCTTCTCCAGCCCTTTCAATTGTTTTTTCAAGTTGTTAGCTTCTGTAGTTGTAGAGAACTAAGGGATGTTCCGGAACTTGGATCTTCACTTTGGTTATCCTGCAAGGCCCCGAGGTTGGCCCTCGGGCTAGACACTCCGATGCCCAAGTTAGTAATAATCAGAGCTATCAGTTATGAAGCAAGAGCTAAGTTTGAGGTCGATTTCAAGTACCTTTTTGAGGTGGACCTTGGGGGGTATTTATAGGCCTTCAAGGAGGTGTCTACGTGTTGCCTCTGATACCGCATGACCTTTGACTACCAACGTACCTCTAATACCTCATGATCTCTGACTACCAACATACCTCTGATACCTCATGACCTCTGACTACTACCATTACACTATTCCCCCTCTGAAGTCATTCACTTGTGAATGATACGAGAGTTTGTGTTGGGGTCCAGTCGAGGGGAGGATATCATGACATGGGGTCAAGTGATGAACGACGGAGGTCGCAATGCAAACATGATTTGGGGACATGTAGCGTATGGTTAGAGTTGAAGTGACCATATATTGATGAGGTCATGTGTTATATGGCCAGAGCCGAAGTGACAATATCATGACATGTGGTCATGTGATGTACGGTTGGAGCCGAAGTGAAAATATCATGACTCATGGTCATGTTATGTATGGTCGGAGCCAAAGTGAAAAATATCATGACACGTGGTCCTGGGGTACGGCCGAGGCCGAAGTGGAAATGGAGTGCCACAAGGTCATGGTGAACGGCGGAAGCTGAAGTGAAAGTAGCATGACACCTGGTCATGGGTGCGGTCAGAGCTGGAGTGAAAGTAGCATGACACGTGGTCATGGGTGCGGTCGGAGCTAGAGTGAAAGTAGCATGACACATGGTCCTGGGGTACGGCCGGAGCCGGAGTAAGTAGCATGATACATGGTCATGGGTGCAGCTGAAGCCAAAGTGAGTAGCATGACACATGGTCATGGGTGCAGCCAGAGCCAGAGTGAAAGTAGTATGAGTGAACATCAATTTTCAAAAAATAATTAACGTGTAATCCATTCAAAGGAGCTTGAAATGGGAACGAAAATAAAATAGAATATAATGAAATAATTTAATTTTGGGTGACAGTTGTGCTCGCGTGCCATGCTGTAGTAAATGTCATCAGGAATAACTGCCGAATTCGAAAGGACACGATCGTGGCTGTTAAATGCGAGAGATCATGACCATTAAAACGAGAAGGAGGCTGAGTATAAATAGCCAGCTTTGAATTATTCATAATTTCACCTTACTGAATTTGTAGCGGAGCCCTGCCGAAATCGCGCCAGAGCATTTTGTCCTCTGAGCTGACTGTTGTAGAGGTCGAAGTTGAAGTTGGGACGTAATAGCTGCTAGAACATTTGCACAAGTGTTTCACTTCAGCCATCAGGAAACCAGGTAACTTTGAGCTTTACCTCCAACTTAGATGATTTGATTTATTTTAGAAAAAAGTCCAGTCAAGGAAGTTAGATGTTCAATTGGAAGGAGTTAGTAGAGGATAGAAATTGTAGGTGATTCTAATTATTATTCATCAATACTCCTTGTAGTGAAGATTGTGATACCAAAGATGTCTTCTGAAGAAACATTAAGTGTTGGAGGGGAAGAAGAGGTAAGGAGCTTCAGTTCGAGTTCGAGCTCTAGTGGGCGAAGTGGGAGTGGGACCTCTGTTAGTGGGGGCAATGGGGGTCAGGAGGATAGTGTTGTTCCAACTAACATCTTAGAAGTTGGTGACAGTCAGGAAAGGTGTTATGACGAAAAGGAAAATGTGGTGAGGGAGGTTATAGGCTATAAGTCGTGCTGAAGGAGTAGGGGGGAGCTGGGGCACTTGGTAGAAAATTACAATATCCCCCATCACGTGCTGGTAAGGCCAACTAAAAGTGAGGAGCATGCATGTTCGGTTCCAAGGGATCATTGGATGTCACTATATGCGCATTGTCTAGCGGTTGGGCTTCGGTTTCCCATTCCAGAGCTGCTGGTAGCGTTGTGTTGAAGGAGTATGGGATTGGGCTGACGCAACTCGTCCCAAACGAAGTTCGGCTGATGGTGGGGTTCTTGGTCTATTGCCAACTTCGGGGTGTATCTATCCCCACAGTAGATTTATTTAAGTAATTTTTTTTTATAATTAAGGGGGGAAGTGGGAAGGAGAAAGGGTGGTTCTATTTCACGCCTAAGGTAACTGAAGGTAGGAGTAGGAATCTGTTTACGGCAGGTCCTTCTTCCATTAAGGGGTGGAAAGAAAAGTTTTTCTTCATTGATGATAGGGAGTAGGGGAGGAGAGATGGAGAAGTGGAGGAGCTCAATAGGTGGAAGGGGAAGAAAAAGAACCCTAATCAGTATCGACTAGGGGAGGTGGAGAAGGACGAGGTGGAGAGGTTTAAGAGGGTTGGGGGGGAGTTGGCAAACATAATGTACCTCACCAGTCCAAAGGTGGTGGAGTCGTTTGGAATTTATGGAAGGAGCTCGTTGAGCAGAGGTCTATGTCAACTAGAATGAGATTGCATTTCAGAATAAAAGTCTGATTGTAACTTCTAACTCTATTTTGTTTTGCAGAGGAAACGAATCATTTGAGAGCTGAAGGTAAAGTTATAAGACTTCTGGAGAGGGGGTCAAAGGCATCAACTTCGAGTGCCATAGAGGAACAAGTTGGGGATGGGACTTCAAGACCTCACCCCAACGGTGGAGCTCGAGCTAAAGTGGGGCCTAGCTCGAAGCCAAGGAGGGGATCCACCGAGGAAGGGGCCGTTGCTCGGAAAAGGCAAAGGGTGGAAGAAGTGCATCCGTTGCACATCAAGGCCCCAATTGAGTTCGTGCCTCGGCCTCCCCCCATGCAGATTGACCCATCATTGCGAAAAGTAGAAGTTGTGGTGCTTGGGAAGGGGAAGAGCTCTATTCCCTACCCCAGGCAGGTCTGCAGCTTCTACGAATCTGGGAGGACGATTGGGAAACGTTTCATCAGCTCCCACTTCCCTCAGGTGGATCTGCAGAGGGCTAGGGATGAGGTGGCTACCAATGGGAGATCAGGGGTAGTTCGGCAAGCCCTAGAGGTAAGTTCGTTCTACCCTTCTTTGACTTCAGCGCTTTCTTTTTCTTCTTTTTTTTTTTTTTTTTTGACTTCTGCCTTTTTTGTAGACTGAAAATTTAGTAAATGCAATGGTAGTTGAGTTCTTCAATTGCCTCCAAGAGCGAATTGCCTTGGTTGGGAAGAACGAAGAGCTAAGTCGTCAAAAAAAGGCAGCCGAGAAGAACTTCAATGAACTGACCTTAAAGCTGAAGAAGATCAGAGAGGAGTTAGTCACTTACAAGAGGGTTGCCAAACTGGAAGAGCAGAAGAGGAAGAAGTGCAAGGAGGCACTTGCGAAAAGGGATAACGAGCTGGCTGAGGTTAAGAAGATAGCCGAGCTGGCGATCCATAACTCGGTTGAGCACCACATTTCGGACTTCATCAAGTCTCCTACGTTTTCCAAGGTGGTGGACCTCTACCATTTGCCGACTTTAGCGATGGCCTTCATCGACTGCCGTAAGAAGGTGAACGCCCAAAATCCGAAGGTGGATGTGACCAACATCACATTTGGCCCCGAGGAGGCAGGGGTAGAGGAGAACGGGGATAGTAAGACGGCGGAGTTCTGTCCTAAGGTAAAATTAACTTGGGAACGGGATGAGGCTAGGAAAACTATCCTCCCTCCTACCTTGGAGTGGGAACGGGATGAGGCTAGGAGAACTATCCTCCCTCCTACCTTGGAGTTTGAGTTCGTCGTCGTCAACGAGGAGGAGGCCAAGGTTCCACCGAGAACCGAGGTGACGGATAACATGCGAGAGGAGGAAATGGACCAACAGCATTAGATCATCGACCAAGCTCGGCCAGTTCGTTCCTTGCTTCTCTTTTTTTTTTTTTTTTAAGAACACTTTGTATTTTTTATTTTCGAATCAATGAATTAGAAGTTGAAAAATTAGTTTTGTTTATTATTTCAGCATTTACGTGACTTCTGACCTCGAAATTGTAGCGAATCAACAGTTAATATAGCTGACCAAAAGTATAACTTTTTGACCTTTTAAAATGAGAGATCAAAAGTATAACTTTGTATTGAACTCAAGGTAGAGGTGAGTTTGTGATTTCAAGTTCAGAACTTAAGAGTTTGAATAAGACGAAGTTTCATTAAGGATAAAACTTCCTCAAGTTATTTACATTCCAAACCCTAAGAATTTTTTTACCCTCAGCGTCTACAAGTATATAAGCGCCGAGGTGTGGTATTTTGGCTATTACATATGAGCCTTTCCAGTTTGACGCCAACTTGCCGAAATGTGTTTTGAAGTTGGTGGGTCCTGCCTTTCTGAGAACGAGGTCACCAACTCTAAAAGTTCGAGATCAAACTCATCTATTGCATGAGTTGGCCAGTTTCTGCTGATATGCTAATGTTCGAAGTGGAGCTTGCTCGTGGACTTCATCTAAGAAATCGAGGTTTTCTCTGAGTAACTGCTCATTTCGCATTGCATTGAAATGGGTCACTCTTAGGCTTGGGATGCCCATTTCAACAAGAATGACTGCCTCAATCCCAAAAGCCAAGTGGTAGGGCATTTCGTCTAATTAGGAGAAATTGTAATTTTAGGGTTTATTTCACATAACTAGCAATAGCCTCAGATCAAAGGAGAATAAGAAGTTGGTTAAGTTACATACCTGTGGCTGCTCAGCTCATAATTCGGTAATACCATAGAACATTATTGAGCTCGTCTGCCCACTTGGCTTTGACCTGATCTAGGCTCAGTTTAATCCCCTCTAAGATTGCTTTATTGACAAACTCTACCATTCTGTTTGCCTTAGGGTGATAAACAGAAGTGAACACTAATTTTATCCCATAGTTGGAACAAAAGTCTTTGAAAAAGGTACAGTTGAACTGAGGTCCGTTGTCAGCAACAACTTGATATGGAATTCCATATCTGTATATAATCGAGCTGAAAAAAAAGTCTTCAATCTTTCTTGAGGTCAAACTAGAAAGAGGTCAAGCTTCCACTCACTTTGTGAAGTAATCAATTACTACGACTAGGTATCTTACTCCCCCTGAACCCTTGATAAAAGGACTTAGAAGGTCAATCCCCCATTAGGCGGGTGAGATGTGCAAAGAATTGGTGGGTTCTTCCGCTAGTTGGTGGGTGAGATGTGCAAAGAATTGACACTTCTGGCATTTCTGGACATGCTTCTTGGCATCTTCTTGCATATTAGGCTAGTAGTATCCCTACCAAAGTATCTTATGGGCCAAGGTCCGAGCTCCGATGTGATTCCCACATACACCTTCATGCACCTTGCGAAGAGCATACTCGGCCTTATCCCTACTGAAGTACCTTATGGGCCAAGGTCCGAGCTTCAATGTGATTCCCACATACACCTTCATGTACCTCGCGAAAAGCATACTCGGCTTCATAAAGGGTTAAACAACAAATAAGAGGAAGTGAGTATGACCTCTTATATAGGACGCCATCCACCAAGGCGTATCGAGATGTCTTCCTCCGCAACTTCATCTCTTCTCATTTGTCATTGGGGACAGTCCCATCACGGAAATAAGTTTTAATGGGATCAGTCCAACTGGGGGTTTCAGGATCAATACTGACCTTCATCACCTTTGACCTCTAGAAGCTTGGTTCATTTAGGACTTCGACATAGACTGACCTCATTCCACCTTAGCTATTAGAGGCTAATTTAGACAGTGAATCGGCATGTTCTTTTTCTGACCTTGAGACTTTTGTGAGCCGAAATCTCTCAAATTAACATTTAAGCTTGGAAACCACAGCTAGGTATTTGGCTAGGGTAAGGTCTGTAACCTCACATATAGAATTCACTTGGTTGACTACAAGTTGTGAGTCATTATAAACCTGTAGGGATCTGACTTTCAGCTCTGCTGCCAAGTGAAGTCCGAGGAGAAATGCCTTATACTCATCTATGTTATTTGTTGCTTCGAAATTGAGTTTTAGGGCATGCTCACTTTGGAAGTTCCCTGGCCCCATCAACACTGCTCCAACACCCGACCCTTTGTTGCTTGATGACCCATCGAGATAGAGGGTCTATAGCTCAGCCTTATAATCGACACTCTCATGACCTGATGTGCATTCTACAACAAAGTCTGCCAAGGCCTGAGCCCAGATTGACGACCTCTGCTGGAATGTGATATGAAATTCCCTAAACTCCACTGCCCACTTGATAAGTTTGTTCGAGCACTCTGGCTTTTACAAAATCTATCTCAGAGGTTGATCGGTTAGTACAACAATGGGGTGGGTTTGGAAGTATGGCCTCAGCTTCCTTGCAATGGTGACAATTGCCAGGGTTGCCTTTTTTGCAATGGAGTACCTCAATTCGGCTCCTTGTAGCACCTTGCTGGTATAGTATACTGGCCTCTGTTGTTTCCCTACTTTTCTGACTAAGACTAAGCCTATTGCTACATCGGATATCCTGAGGTAGAGGTAAAGTATCTCACCTTCTTCGGCCTTAGTTAACAAAGGTGGTGAACTGAGGTACGACTTGAGTTCATCAAAGGCGATTTGACACTCTAAGGTTCATTCAAATTTCTTAGGCTTCCCCGCTTCGTTTTTATGGGCCACGGATCTTAGGACTTTGAAGAAAGGCAAACATTTATCTGCCGACTTCGATATGAACCTGTGTAGAGCTCCTACCCTCCAGCTAAGCGTTGCACATCTTTAACTGATTTCGGTGGCTTTATCTCTTCTATTGCCTTGATCTTCTCAAGATTAAACTTTATCCCCCTCCTAGAGACCATGAATCCTAGGAATTTTCCAAATTCAACACCAAAGACACACTTGGCCGGATTCAACCTCATGCTATGTTTTCTTAGGTTGTCAAATGTTTTTGCCCGGTCGGTTAGGTGATCCTCTACCTTGAGGCTCTTAACTACTATGTCATCAACGTAGACTTCCAGGTTCCTACCGATCTGAGCTTGGAATACAATCGTCACCAATTTATGGTATGCAGCCTTTACGTTCTTGAGCCCAAACGGCATCATTACATAGTAGTAGATATCGTCACTTGCATAAAAAGAGGTCTTCACCTCGTTCTCGAGTGCCATGTCAACTTGATGATATCCCGAGTAAGCATCTAAAAGACTAAGCCTTTCATTTCTGAATGCAACTTCCACTAGCTTATCTATACTCGGCAAACGATGACAATCCTTCGGGCAAGCCTCATTTAGATTTGTGTAATCAATGCACATTCTTCATTTGTCATTCGACTTCTTGACTAAAATAGGATTAGCAACACATTCACTGTAGTCTACCCTTCTTGCAAACCCTACCTGTAAGAGTTTTTGCATTTCTGCTCTGATTGCTTCCAGTCTCTCTCCTCCAAACAGGCATCTTTTCTGTGTTATGGGCTTCTTCAAAAGATAAGTGCTTAGTTTATGTACTGTGACTGAGGTGGGTATCCCGAGCATATTAGCCGAGGTCTATGCGAATACATCTTTGTTCAACTTCAAAAAGCTAATGAGCTCTTCTCTTTCTTTTGAGTTTAGCTTTGTCCCAATCTACGTCTTCTTAGTGGGGTCATTGTCGTCAAGCTGTACCTCTTCCACCTCTTTTGCCGGGGTGGCTCTGGCCTCATCCTCAAGTATGTTATCCAACAATTCTACACCCATTACCTTCTGTGTGGTTGGGACTTCAGGCTGAGCTGACTCTGGGGGGGTTGCTTGCTTATTCTTCTGAGGTCGGGTGACCGAAGTCATGTAGCAATGTCTAGCTACCTCTTGGTTGCCTTTCAAAGTCACTACTTCCATGAGGGTGGGAAATTTCATGCGGAGGTGGGACTGTGAAACGACAACTTGAATCTCAATTAGAGTTGGTCTTCCGATAACGATGTTAAAAGATGATGTCATCTTCATTATCAAGAACCGAACTGAAGGAGTAACATATGTCTAACCTGTGCCGAATGCTACATTGAGTTTCAGAACTCCTTCCACAGGAACTGGCTGATTATTGAATCCATAGATGAGGCCATCATGCTTCTGTAGGAAGGCGGGATCAAGGCCAATGCTCTCAAAGCAGTGATAGTACATGATATCTAGAGTGTTTCCTATGTCGATAAGGACGCGCTGAACTTCGCAATTGTTGACAATAACCGAGGTGACTAGCGGATCATTGTGTGGCATGACAACACCATCAAAATTAGTTGAACTTAAGGTTATAGATTAGTTCTTCCAATTTGCCTCATCAAATTTCCTCTTCTGAGCTCGATTCTGGTGTTTCACCTCCCTCACATATAGCTTTAGCTATTTTGAGCTCGTTCCTCCAGCTTCCAACCTATCAGTTGTCATGTGGATGATGCACGAAGGTGAAGGAAGAGGAGGTGGTGCTTGCTAATAGTCAACCACATTTTTATTGCTTGTATCTCAAGATCCTTGAGGTCGTCCCTACTCTCAAACGAACTTGAGCTGGTCCTTATTTAAGATGTAATCATTTAGCATCCCTTTGTGGGCTAAACCCTCGAGTTCAGACTTCAAACTGTGACATTCCTCCATGGTGTGTCCGTGATCCTGGTGGAAGTCACAATATCTACTATGATCTCTGGAGGCAGGTGAACTCCGCATAGGTGGGGGCTTTCTAAGCTCCATTTTGTTTTTGATCTACATCAAAATCTGTGACCTTGACAATGTAAATGGGGTCCCAAGTGATCTATTTTGTCATAGGTTGTGGGGTATTCAGGGTGGGCCTGTCAACTTTAGTAAGGAATGGACCTTGGTTGTGCGCAGTTTTGAACCTCTTTTTGTTCTGCCCCTCATCTCTCCATGTCAGAGGTCTGACTTCTTTACTTAGTGCGAGCTTGCCAGACAAGGCGTATTCCTCGGTCTATATAAACTTCCAAGACTTTCATTAGCTTCATCGAATGTGGTAGGAGGATGCATTACCAAGCTGTCTCTGAACCTCTCGTGCTTGAGACCTTGAATTATGGCAGCTAATCCAACAGCTTGATTGAATAAGTCAATTTCCAATACAGTATCGTTGAATCTATTCATATAGTTTTTCAAAGATTCACCTTCCCTTTGAATTACTCGCATGAGCTCGGAGGTCGTCTTTCTGATCAGTCGTTGGCTTGAGAATTTAGTTGCAAAAGATGTCGCCAGCTCGGCATACGAATTGATCGAGTTCAGCTGCAGACTATAGTACCAAGTCCGAGTGTTTTCATGCAATGTAGAGGGAAATATTTTGCACATCAGAGCATCTGAGGCATTCTAAGCTTGCATAAGAAAGCAGAATGCGTGGAAGTGGTCATCAAGGTCCTTAGTGCTATCATACGTCTTGAACTAAGGCATTTTAAATCCAGTTGGGTATGGTTCTTAGATGATGTTGGTATTGAGGGGAGTAGAGATAGGGCTAGAGTTGGGCTGAGTCGAAGGTTGGGCATTTCGGTTTTCTACCATCATTTTTTCCAAGTTGTCTAACCTCTTGGAAACATCTGAAACAATTGGCTGAAGTGGGTTTGGAGGTGGAGGTGCCATGTGAGAGTGGCCTTGGGACTCGTTTTGAGGCGGGACGATAGTCCGAGTTGGTGAATTGACATTTTGTTGAAGCTGGTGATTGGGTGCATGGTTAGTTGGGTTTAACAGGGTGATAAGGGGATCACCTGGGTTGTCTCTAGCTAATAACTATGCGAGCACAAGTTGGAACACGCCAAATTGTTGTTGCATAGTGTTGAGTTGGGCAACTATGGCGTCATTTGGTACCTCCGCTAGGTGCTGTGGGTTATTCTCTCTAATCCTTTCTACTTGCTGATGTTGGGCTATCGAAGGTGGCATAGTGTGAGACATAGGGTTACTGCTTGGGAATTGACCTCTTCCTCAACCCTGTTGAGGTCTTCCGTGTTGTATTGAATGTGTGTTGACCCTCGTAGCAGCCACTAACTAGGCTCTTTGTTTCGATTTCCCACAAACGACGCCAATGTAGCTGCAAAGAACTAGGGGATGTTTCAGAACTCGGATCTTCACTTCTGTTATCCTACGTCCTCGAGGTAGACACTCCAATGCCTAAGTTAGCAATAATCAGAGCTACTAGCTATGAAGCAAGAGCTAAGTTTGAGGTCGGTTTCAAGTACCTTTTTGAGGTGGACCTTGGGGGGTATTTATAGGCCTTCAAGGAGGTGTCCATGTGCTGATCTTTGCGAGAAACCAAGGTAATGCGTATCAACCATCGCAGGTATCTCTCATAAGGAATCTGTGTGAGTACAGAACTAATGTAGAACGGGAGCAAAGGGGACGAGCTCGAATTTGACCGAGCTCATCACTCTTTAATCAAGTCAAGGTGACTAGATTGTTGGTAATAGCTCCGACTGTCCGAGGTAACCTCGGACTACTATGAGGTATGTGACCTCTGACTACCAACGTACTTCTGATACCGCATGACCTTTGACTACCAATGTACCTCTGATACCTCATGACCTCTGACTACCAACATACCACAAATATCTCATGACCTCTGACTACCAATGTAGCTCTGATATCTCATAACCTTTGACTACCACCACTACAGCTTCTTTCTTCTTTTCCTTGAATTTGCAGTTAGCATCAATAAAAGCAGCTGCAGCTTCTTGCTGTCTTCTTTTAGCATCTTTGAGCTTCACATATTGCTAATGAAGTTGGAAAATAATCAATTAAAGAGAAAAGAAATAATTTAATGTAAAAGAGAAGTTGGAAAGAGAAGAGATCCAAGAGAAGAGGGGCCTCAGTTTACTGACTACATACCTTCATAAGATTGTACACACTAACTTCTTGCTTGCTCCCTAGTCCAAGATCATGATGAGATGGAGGCCTCCTTATCATGAGCAGCCTCCCTCATTTGTATTTGTGTACCTTTGTTGGTTGACAACAGATGTCCTTGAGTAGCCAGTGCAGCGGTTAGCTAATGGTCCTTCTGGCGAGCCTCAGCCATAAACCCACTACTTGGAGTAGTACTGTAAGTAGTTGCAGGGCTTTTGCCCCGACAGGCCCCATCCGGTTCTTCCTCTCTCTTCCTCTAAGGACGTTTTTAATCTAAGTAATAGTGGTTATTTTTTACAATGATTTATAATTTTCACTACTAAATTTTCTATTTTCAGCAACATGATTTCATGTTGCTGAAAATGGTTCATATGTTGTTGAAACTCTTTCAGCAACATGCCTCTAGTTGCTAAAACCTTTGTTGGAAATGCCTTGGTGGGTGATACATTAGCAACATGGAGCTTGTTGGTGATGTATCAGCAACATGAGGCACATTGCTGAAAATATAGTTTCAGCAACATGCCTCATATTGCTAAAAATTTTGCCAAATTTCGATAGAAAGTCCGGCCAATGTTTTGAATTTTTTCAGCAACATAAGCCACATTGCTAAAACTAAAATTTCAACAACGTGACTTATGTTGCTAAAAGTTTAAGGGAAATGATGGTTTTTTTAGGTGGTTTTCCTATCCTATTTTCAGCAACAAGAGCCACGTTACTGAAAGTTTAGGAATAGTACATCTCCTAATTTTCAACAACGTATGCCTTGTTGCTAATATTTATTTGCATACTTCCACCATATTTGTTGATATTAATTAACTATATTAATAAATTTTAGCTTAATTAATGCAAATTAAATAACATCAATTAATTAATGTCTTATTATGTATTTTCACTACTGGAAAACGCGGCATAAGCGACAATATTATATTCGACAGCCACATTTCTGTCGAAAATATGTACATAATCGACAGAAAGATTGACGAAGATGTAAAATTGACGATGATAATGGAAATTTCTTGTTTAATCGACAGTATTCATATTCGACAACTTTTTTGTCGAATATACAAATATATTCGACAGCCTTTGGCTAACGAATATGTTTATGGTTGGCAACGACATCGTTTCCTCTATATATTCAACAACTTTGGCTGTCGAATATACTCGTTCATATCACCCGCATCTCACCTTTCTTCCCCATTTCTGCTTTTCCCTCTGCGGCGGTAGATCTGGTTTCTTCTCCGGCGAAGCTTACTGTCACTGTTCTTCCGTAGCGCCCCCTGTTCTCCGCTTCGCGCCAATGCCGGTGAGTTCGCCCTTCTCTCGGTCAATTGATTGATTTATTTTTGCATGTATTTTCCTTGCATTGTTTAGCCTCCAGTTAGCGACGTCGGCACCTTGCATTGTTCCTTGTTGATCCTTGCATTTTGGTTCAGCCTCCAGCGTCTCTAAGCAACCACACCACGTGGAGGAAGTTTGCTGGAAGTTGCAGCGAACACAGTCGTCGGCAGCTTCTTTTTTTTTTTTTTTTTTTGTTTTACTTGTTTTTTCCTTGGATATACTGCTTACAATACCTCATTTTTTGTTTTTTGTAGGTTGAAATCCGGCTTTTATTGGTCCTGCAGCATCAACTTCCCCACTGCAAAGGTAATTGGGATTTTTTTGGTTTTTTTTTTTTACATAAATATACTATTTTATTTATGTAGATTAGTTTAGATTATTGCTAGAATTATCAGTGAATTACAATTATTTTTTTTCAAGTTTTTGAGATTG